AGCTTGAGACGTTCGGCTGGGCTGAGGTCGGGGTTGTTGCCGGACACGTCGTAGTAGAGCTCTGCCTTGAGGAGGCCGAATCCCTCGAGACGCATGGGCGATGCAGAGTAAAAGCTCACGTCCGCGTCAATCACGAGCTGGTTGGTCGTCGTGTTGCCGTGCGACATCTCGAGGTTGCTCGTGGCGTAGTTGGTCAGCTGAATCGGTGGGAAGGTGGTCTCCTTGTCGATGGAGAGCGGGAAGGGGATCCCATCGACCAGACGGTGCTCTCGCCGGTCATTCTCCACGGCACAGCGTCACCGTTGAGCATACGCTTCGCCATCTGAGTGGGCGAGGCGGGCGGTCAGAGGCACTAGGAGGGGTGAGAAGGCTCCTCGCTGGGGGCGGGGGCGGGAAGTGCAGCGCGCCCTGTTGAAGGCCGCGGCGTCGGTCACGTGCATCACTGTAGACGGATTGATGACGCCCGGGCCGTTGCCCTTGAGCGTGAATGGCGGGACCACCATCCAGCCGATCGTCCGGCCGCTGGGCGCGCCCTCCTCTGGCGGGCCATGGACGGTGGCGTTGAAGGCGTCGACGTCGCACCCGAAGGGACCTAACACCGGGCCGGAGGTGAGGCAAGGGAATGGGCGGCGGCGGGGAATGGGCGGCGCGCCGGCGTTGTTGATCTCAACGACGGCGGAGACCCTCATGCTGGTCTCGGTTGGAGCGCTCATCGTCGCGTTATGGATGTTGATGCTCGTTGCGCCGACGAGCATGTCGAGCACTGCCGGAATAATAACGTACCAGATCATCGGAATCCAGAACAGTGCCGCAAACGAAAGAAGCGCCAGCATCGTGTAGCTGGTGGCCTTCACCGAGCCGCAAAAATAGCGGTGCGCCTTCGTGACGCATCCCGGCTCAGAGTGTGGCTCTTCCGGCCGCAGCGCGACCAGCGGTGCGACGCGCGGCTTGGCTTGGCCGTAGTCGGAGCGGAGCCGCTCAAGCGTTTTCTCGTCAGGAGTCGACGTGCGCTCGGACATGGCGAGTATTGCCGACAGTGGAGTGGGACTGGAGGTAACAGCAGCAGCAGCAGCAGCAGCAGCAGAGCGTGATCAAGGGATCAAGGCCTCCTTATCACGCTTTCCTCGCAAACCACTCCAGGCGCCGTTCTTCGAGTTATTTTTCTTTCTTTGAATAGGAGGGACTGTTCTTAAAACGGTTTGCGGTGCCAGCTTCAGCGCTGACCGGCATCTGCGGGGTCTCGGCTAGGGTCTCGGGCGTCGTCGGGGAGGGGGTGCGGTGCAGGGTGCTCGGCCGTTTCGAGCCTCGCCCTCGGGCGCGGCTAAAATAAACTCCACTGTCGGATCTTCTGCACTCAGTCTTTACACATAAAGACAGAGAGATTTTTGAAAACCAACAAGAAATCACGACTCTCACTGTGATTTGGGCTCGGCAGCTTCTCAGGTTCTCAAGAAGAAAGAGATAGAGAGATTTTTCAAAAAGAGATCTGCATCTCTCTCTCTCGCAAGGTAGAAGGATCAAGGTTGTCGCACAGGTTCACTCAGATCTCAGCACTCAGCCGAAAATACAAACGGACACCCCTTCTAGGAGATGGGTAAAACCGAGGCTCTGTCTCTGTGCACTCTGGTTTCGTTATGTATCGTTATTTTTGCCTGTCCGTGTCACCCCCGCGGCATCCAGTAGCCTCGTCACCTCTGTCCTGCCGTGCTCCTCGGCGAGCTCGCGCGGAGTGCGGCCTCGGTCGTCGCGCAGCTCCCACCGCGCACGGCCGCACCGGAGGAGGCTCGCCACCACCCCCGCGTTCCCCGCCTGCGCAGCGCGGTGCGCCGCGGTCTGACCGCCCGCCTCGGCGACGACCAGGTTCGGGTCTGCGCCCGCAGCAAGCAGCAGGCTCGCGATGCGCGTGTGCTTCGTGTGGTGGAAGTGGTACGTGTGCGAGGCGGCGAGCAGCAGCGGCGTCTCGCCGCCGGAGAGGGCACCGTGCTCGGCCGGCGCCCTCGGCTCGCCGACCGGCCAGTCCACCTCGGTGCGCGGGTCGTCGAGCAGCGCCGCCACGCTCGTCGCCTGCCCGAAGGCGACCGCCTTGTGCAGCGGCGTCACGCCGTACAAGTCTCGCACGTTTGGGTCGCACCGCCCGAGCAGCAGCTTCACCGCGCCCCGCTCGCCCGCCTGAGCGGCCAGGTGCAGCGGCGTCGCGCCCGCGGCGTCGGCCGCCGCAGCGTCTGCGCCCGCGTCCAGCAGCGCCTGCATCGTCGACATGTGGCCCGCAGCAGCGGCGAGGTGCAGCGGAGTGCGCCCGTGCACCCTGTCCGCCGCGCCAGGCGTTGCACCCAGCCCGAGCAAGATGTCGACCAGCTGCCGCCGCCCGGCCTTTGCGGCGAAGTGCAGCACCGAAACGCCTCGCACGTCCGCCTCGTTGGGGTCGCCCTCGCGGCACTTTCGCGCCACCTCGTACCAGTGCCCCTGCCGCGCCTCCTCCACCGCCGTCAGTCCCAGCGCTTGGTGATCGGCCTGCTCGCGGAACCATCGCGCGTCCGGGTGCTCGCAGAGGGCGGACGCGCTGGCGGTGGCGGCGGAGGCGGAGCCGAGCGCGGCGGCGGAGCCGAGCGCGAGCCGCGCAGCGCGAGACGAGCGGAGGAGGAGCCGCGCAGCGCGAGACGAGCGGAGGAGGGCGTCCATTCGCTCCCGCGGGTTTTTTTTCCTTTTATTCTACAACTGTACATGTACATGCAGCACGCTGGCGAGGAGAGGCGCACGCACGCTCTCTCGAGGTCTCTTGGAGCAGAGCCCCGGCGAGTCCTCGAAAGAGCTGGGTCCTCGGAGAGGGTACAGTGTACCCTGGGTGGGCGGGGCCTCTACTCGCCAGTGTAGCATGCGCCAGTCCGAAAGAAAGAAAGGAAAAAATAACCCGTGAGGGATGGCGCGCCAGTCCGCACCTGGTAGATTTGCCAAAATTCTTTTGCCGCACAGAGCAATTCCTTTGCCGCCCTCTCCACCGTCCAGCTTCACAATTCGCCCACCGCTTTGCGTCCGGCCCGGACACGAGACATGTCTCCCGTCGCCCCGTGCCCCGCCGCCTTCCAGAACGAGGTGCTGGGCGAGCGCTTCCGCTGGCGCCCGTGCGAGACCGCCTTTGACCTGTTCGGCCGCCTCTCGCGGCCGCCGCTCCGCCTGATTGACGCGGCGGCCGAGCTGCCGCACCAGGTGGTGCTCCACGCTGGCGAGGCGCTCGAGATCAGCGGCGAGCCGGGGAGCGGGAAGACGGCGACGCTCTTCGAGATCCTCGCGCGCTGCGTCCTGCCCGTCGCCTGTGGCGGCCTCGGCGCGCACGCCGTCCTGATTGACACGGACGGCGTGGACCTCGCCCGGCTCGCGCTCGACCTGCGCCGCCGCCACCGGGCGGCGCGCGGCCTCGCCCGCGGCTCCGCGGGCAGCCCCGGCTCGGGCTGCAGCTCCGAGCCGGAGGACGCCTCCGAGGCCGCGTTTGTCGACGGCTGCCTCCGCCGGCTGCACGTGCTGCGGGCGGCAGACAGGCACGAGCTGACGCTGGCCCTGCACGCGGTGCTGGGCTACATCCACCACGGCGGCGGCGCCGAGCCCGCCGCCTCCGCCTCGCCGCCCGGCGGGCTGCCTCCGGCCGCCGCCCTCCGCCTCCTCGCCGTCGACTCTGCATCTCGCTTCCAGTGGCTCGGCCGCGCACAGCAGCGGCTGCCCTCGCTCGCCGACCCCGACGCGGCGCTGCCGCTCGTGCTGGCCGACCTGCTGCAGCGCCGCTCTCTCTCCCTCGTCTGGACCCGCACCCCCGCCAGCAAGCCGCTGCCCGACGCCTTCCCGGCGCCGCAGCAGCGCGACCCGCTCACAGGGCTGTGCACCTACGCGCTCTGCCTCCGCCGCCGACCCCGCTGGCCCGAGGCGGGCGAGGACGCGGCCGACAGCGTCGAGGCCATGCTGCTGCACACCGCCCGCGCGGGCGCCGGCGGCGCGGGCAAGCCCGCCGCGCCCCTCCCGCCGCCGCTGCGGCTCGAGCTGCTCCTGGGCGGCGGTGGCCACGGGACGGTCGCGATTCGCCCGAGCTCGGCGGCGCGGTGAGGCCATGTGGGAGGAGGAGTGCTGGAATTGCTGGCAGGGCTCTGCGAACTGCGACCGCGATCCTCCGCCGGCAGGCTGCCCATTCGCCGCCAGGCAAATCGCCGTCCACCGCACTCGGACTCGCCGGAGGCCGTTTTTGGTTTAAAAAGTCACTTTTTTCTCGCGCGCCGCGACTAAAAGAAAGAAATAAAACAGACAACCCAAGGGAGGGATGGGAGCGCCGCGACTAGAGCTCTAGTGTCGACGAGCGGAAAATCTTTAATTTCGGATTTCGCGCGCGAGGGGGAAAAACGAAAAAGAAAGAAAACAAGACGCACCAAAGTCTCCAAAACTAAGTAACGGAGGGACGAGAGATGGGAGAAGGACAGGGTCCCCACCTGCACGAGCAGGATCTTGGAAGGACGATCAGGGACACAGGAGAACGGGAGTGGGGAGCGCATCGCGACACGGAGGGGGGTTGGGCAGGGTTCACCCACACGACAGGGTCCCAGGGATTCTCCCCTCTCGTATAGGACAAAGTTGCACCCGGCGGCACGGGGGCAGGCGCGGGCCTCCTAGTCCTACTGGTTGCGCTCTCCTAGTTCTCCTGCTCCTGACAAAAGGGACAGCAAAAGAATTTTACAACAAAACTCCCTCGCACAACACTGGGCACGGGACTGGCGCGCACTGGCACTAACACAGGTACACCACTGGAGCCGCCTAAGCGACTCCGGCGAGGACGGCGAGGCACTTAGCTCCGTGCACTCGACCGCCCTCGCCGTTGGCAAGCTCATTCACAATCTGCTCTGCGATGGCCGTGTGAAGAACGACTGAGATGCGCTGCTTTCCCAGAAAGAAAACAGACAAGCCAAGGGAGGGATGGGAGGACGGCACGCCGCCACCACACAGGGATTTCAAGGGGAGATAAGTGTGGTGCTAGCCGTCGCCCACGACCCTCGGCGCTCGGGCGTCTACCACTTCCTATCTCTTTTCGCAGTTTCTCACCAATTCTCGCAGCGACCTTCATGCCACCTCGCGTTCTTCCCACTCTCGTCCTCGTTCTCTCTCCTGCTGTTTCATCCTCTGACTCATCGCTCTCCTCGGCCTCGTTCTGAAACGCCGCTGCCGTCTGCCGATCCCTTGCTCTCGCTGCTTCTCTCGCCTCTCTGCGTAACTCCGCCCTCCTCGCGGCATATTTTGGCCCCTCGAGTTTATCAAGCTCTCCTCGCGCAAGGACCACATTTCTGACTCCCACACCGATCATTTGCCGCCACGTCATGTCGAGCGGTCTCGGGCACCGTACCCATACTACTCAAAAGTACAATGTCTACCACAAAGCACCACTAGCGATTTCGCGCGGAGGGCGTAGTGAAGCGCTGGGGCGCTCACTGTGTGTTATTCGGGTGGGGATCCATCAGTGGTAACCGGCTTTAGTCACAGATCCAAGCTCAGACGTCACACCAACACCACAAACACGCTCACTTCGCCGCTGCTGTAGATGGGCCTCCGGGGGCCCATACTACGTCGAAGTACGGACCCAATCTCGGCACTCACGGGCTGCCACGCGCCCGCGCGCGGCGCGGGCCGCACCGCCCATGCCCCCGGGTCACCGACCCCGCCTCTCGGCCCTCTCGGCCCTCAGGAGCGTGCGGGAGACCGGCGAGGGGCGCGCCGCGCGCCGCCTGCAGAGCCGCCAGAGGCATTGCCGCCTCCGCTGGCGGGGTCCCGCGCGTCCGCCCGCGCCCGCGCCCGCCCACGCCGCGCCCGCGGGCTCCGGATGCGCCGCCATCCTTCTCCTTCTTCTCGATGGCAGTCCGCGTGTGCTTGTCGACGGGTCGGCGGCGTGGTCGAGGGGAAGGTCGCCGGCGGCCGCAACTCCGCCGCCGTCGCTCCGCCGGCTCTGATCGAGTATCGGGCGTTGAGGGCGGCGGCGCAAAGCGGGTCTGACGCATCCATCGCCACGAGCCTCGCGGCGGCGGTCGTGGCACACCTGGCGGCGGCTGTCGGGGCCGTCTCTACGGCGCTCGACGCCGTGTGAGGTCGGACTCGCCAGCGGCCGCAACTCCGCCGCCGTCGATCCGCCGGCTCTGACCGAGTATCGGGCGTTGAGGGCGGCGGCGCAAGCGGGTCTGGCGCATCCATCGCCACGAGCCTCGCGACCGCGGTCGTGGCACACCTGGCGGCGGCTCTCGGGGCCGTCTCTACGGCGCTCGACGCCGTGTGAGGTCGCCGGCGGCCGCAACTCTGCCGCCGTCGCTCCGCCGGCTCTGACCGAGTATCGGGCGTTGAGGGCGGCGGCGCAAAGTGGGTCTGGTGCGCCACGGCCACCACCCTTGCCGCCGCCCTTGCCGCCGCCCTTGCCAGCCTTTGCCGCCTTGCCTCCGCCGCGGGCGGCGGTGGGAGCGGCCTGCTGGGCTAGCATGTTGTCCTTGCTGGGGACGGGCACGTGGAACGCACGTTACATGTTTGAACGGCCTCGAGAATTCAAACAAAAATAGCCAAGGCCCTCTCGCAAGCTCGCAACCCCTCCGACCCCCCGGGACCCGTGGGCGTCGAAGAGGCGCTCTCGCCTCTCGGGGGGCTGCGTCAAAGCACCGGCCCTGAGTCCGCGAATAATAGAGCAGTCATCTCCCGTAGAGATGGGCGACGCACGAACACAGAGGCACAGTGCGAGAGATGTCGTTGCTCAGGTCCACTCATTCTCTCGTTTCGAGCACTTGTACCTCAACGGTCGGTGTTGGCACTGGGGTTCCCTTCGGGTATATCGTGACAGCTGACGGCGGGATTACCACTGTGGTGTCTTCGTCCTCCTCGGAGGAAAAGGGACAGCGATACGTTCGCAGAAAGAAAAAGAAAGACAACGGACAACCCAAGGGAGGGATGGGAGGACGGCACGCCGCCACCACACAGGGATTTTAAGGAGAGGGGTGTGGTGCGCTAGCCGTCCGCCCACCCTTGGGCGTCCGCCTCTTCCTATCTCTCTTCGCAGTCTCTCGCCGATTCTCGCTGCAACCTTCATGCCACCTCGCGGTCGTCCCACTCTCGTCGTGCTCTCCCTTGTCGCTTCTTCTTCTGTCGCGTCGCTCTCCTCTGCCTCGTTCTGCGACGCCGCCGCCGCCTGCCGGTCCCTTGTTCTCGCTGCTTCTCTCGCCTTTCGGCGCAGCTCCGTCCTCCTCGCTGCATATCCTGGCCCCTCGAGTCTATCGAGCTCTCCTCGAGCAAGGACGAGTCTTCTGACGCCCACTGCGATCATTTGCCACCCAGTCATGTCGTTGCTCAGGTCCACTCCAGGTCCACTCTCTCTTCGAACACTCGTGCCTCTACGGATGATGCCGGCGCTGGGGTCCCCTTCGGATGCATCGTGACATCTGTCGCGTCGTTCTCTTCTGCCTCGTCCTGTGCCGCCGCCGCCTGCCGGTCCCTTGTTCTCGCGGCTTCTTTCGCCTTTCGGCGCAACTCCGTCCTCCTCGCGGCGTATCCTGGCCCCTCGAGTCTATCGAGCTCCCCTCGCGCAAGGACCACATTTCTGACTCCCACTCCGATCATTTGCCTCCAGGTCATGTTGTTGCTCAGGTCCACTCTCTCTTCGAACACTTGTGCCTTCACGGATGATGCCGGCGCTGGGGTCCCCTTCGGGTGCATCGTGACGGCTGACAACGGGATTTCCACTGGTTCGTCCTCCTCGGAGTCGTCTTCCCCCTCTTCCTTCCGCTCGGCTCTACGTTCAGTACGTTCGGTGTGGCTCACCCTCCATGCCGTGAACAGGCGCTTTATCCACCCTATATTCTTCTCTCGTTCCTCTGCCCGTGCCTTGGTCTTGTCGTTGTTTCGCACCCATGTCTGTATGGCAATCGATACGTTCGCAGAAAAGAAAGAAAACAGAGAAGCCACGCCGCCACCACACAGGGATTTTAAGGAGGGGGGACGACACTGCTTCGGCAGCGTGCACCTCGATCCTGTACCGTGTTTGTTATGACCCCCCCCAATGAACACACCAGTGAGGGAGGGCGAGACGATCGAGGGGTCCCGTACCATGCGGAACCGACCCTATCCAGTGCTCAAGTGCTCAAGAGGGGTGTGGTGCGCTACGTGGCTGGGTTCACAGCGATTGTAGGAAAACGAAGGGAACACTTGACGGTCGCGGCCTTCCGACTCGCGCCTCCGCCTCACTGGCACTATTGTAGCCCTGGCCGGTGCGCGTGTGAAGTTTAAGTTCCGGAGTAAAAATTCGAACGCGTTCTCTCACGGTGACCAAAAAATGTCCACCTCAGAGGCACCCCCGGAGGCAGGCCGCCGCACGCCGGCGACACAGCTCCAGCTGTCGAACTGACCCGCAGCTCCTCTCAGAGCGGGAACTGTGACGAAAGTTGACTGAAACGGTTGTCAGGAATCATCATACGGATCACATGGTGGCTCTCTCATGACGGGAGACCGACCGACCACTCCTGGGTGGCACTGCCACCGGTGTCGCTCGACGTCCTGTCGACAGCGTGCCGACAGCGACACATACCATGTGGGACGCGTCGAGTATCGACCTCTACTGCTTACCCAGCCTTCGAGTGTATCCTGGCTGTGGTCCCACACCCACTGGTGTCCATCTCAGAGACCGCAGGAGGTCATGAGGATCGATGGGAGTGCCAACCCCACAATGCCTAAAAACCCAGCCCAGTAGCCGTCGCCCACCCTTGGGCGTCCGCCTCTTCCTATCTCACTTCGCAGTCTCTCTCCGATTCTCGCTGCAACCTTCGTGCCACCTCGGGGTCTCCCCCTTCTCGTCGTGCTCTCCCTTGTCGCTTCTTCTTCTGTCGCGTCGCTCTCCTCTGCCTCGTTCTGCGACGCCGCCGCCGCCTGCCGGTCCCTTGTTCTCGCTGCTTCTCTCGCCTTTCGGCGCAGCTCCGTCCTCCTCGCTGCATATCCTGGCCCCTCGAGTCTATCGAGCTCTCCTCGAGCAAGGACGAGTCTTCTGACGCCCACTGCGATCATTTGCCACCCAGTCATGTCGTTGCTCAGGTCCACTCCAGGTCCACTCTCTCTTCGAACACTCGTGCCTCTACGGATGATGCCGGCGCTGGGGTCCCCTTCGGATGCATCGTGACATCTGTCGCGTCGTTCTCTTCTGCCTCGTCCTGTGCCGCCGCCGCCTGCCGGTCCCTTGTTCTCGCGGCTTCTTTCGCCTTTCGGCGCAACTCCGTCCTCCTCGCGGCGTATCCTGGCCCCTCGAGTCTATCGAGCTCCCCTCGCGCAAGGACGATACGTTCGCAGTTGGGCCGGTAAAAATTCTTTTTTCGCAACGGAGTGGGCACGCTCTCCGTTTCTCGCTCCTCTCGCCTCCCCTCCCACTCTCCGCGCTCGGGCGCGCGCCAAACGTCTCATTGCGATGACCGACTACGAGCGCGTGCCCGTGTACAAAGCGCGCCGGCCGGGCTCCTCTTCCGAGGCCGCGGCGTGGCGCAAGTACACGCACCCTCTCATCTTTCGGCACAAGGGCACGCCGACGCACGTCGAGTTCTCGCCCGTCGCGCCGCACGATTTTTGCGTGGCGAGCTCGCTGCAGGTCGACATCTTCTCGTCGCGGAGCAACGCGGTGTACCGCACGCTCACCCGCTTCAAGGACACCGTCTGCTGCACCGCCTACCGGCACGACGGCAAGATGCTCGCCGCGTCGGACGAGCGCGGCGTGACGCAGCTCTTCGACCTGGGCTCGCGCGCGGTGATGCGCACCATGCGCGGCCACACCAAGGCCGTGCGCGCGGTCCGCTTCTCGCCCGACGGAGGGCGGCTCTACACCGGCTCAGACGACATGCTCGTCAGCTGCTGGGACGTCGCGGCCGAGGAGACGGTGCGGACGTTCGAGGGGCACACCGACGTGGTGCGCTGCCTGCGCGTGTCGGGCGCGGCGGGCGAGCACACCGGCGCCCACCGCCTCGTCCTCTCCGGCTCGTACGACCACACGGTGCAGCTGTGGGACGTGTCTGCGCCGCGGCCGGTGATGACGGTGCGGATGGGCGAGCCGGTGGAGGACTGCGTGCTGCTGGCGGGGGGAGGGATGGTGGCGGTGGCGAGCGGCAACTCGATCTCGATCTGCGACCTCCTCTCCGGCGGCAAGGTGCTGCAGAGCGTCGTCGCCCACTCGAAGACCGTCTCGTGCCTGCACGCCGACGGGAGCGGCCACCTCTACTCGGGCGGCCTCGACCGGTTCGTCAAGGTGCACGACTTGGCGAGGTACCAGGTGCTCGGCTCGCTGCGGTACGAGGCGCCCGTCCTCGGAGTCGCCCTCTCGCCCACCCGCTCCCACCTCGTCGCCGCCCTCGCCAACTCGACCATCTGCGTGCGGAGGCAGCGCGCCGCCGCCGCGCGCGCAGACATGCCCTCCGCCTCCTCCGAGGCGGACCCGACGGCGCGGCCTCTGGGGGCGAAGCCGGGGCAGGTCGCGGTGAGCGAGGGCATCGCCGCCCGCTTCGACGGCGCGCACCCGGGCACGTACCGCTACTTCCTGCGCGGCCGCACGCAGGCGCCGCAGGCGGGCGACGTGGTCGCCGGGAGGGGGGCGCCGCCAAAGCTGTCCGGGTTCGACAAGGCGCTCAAGGGGTTCCGGTACCACGAGGCGCTGGACGCGGCGCTGCTCAACGGCGCGGCCGACGTCGTCGTCGGCGTCATCGAGGAGCTCGTCCAGCGGAACGGCCTCCGCATCGCGCTGCACGGACGCGACCAGCAGACGCTGCAGCCGCTGGTCGGCTTCCTGGTGCGGAACATCACGCGGCCGCCGCACGCGCACGTGCTGA